CTGTGTTCTGCCTGGTGACCAGCAGGTACTTACCAGGCTGTAGGAAACACTTTGAGGCCGGACCTGTAAGACAGACAAGAACCCAGCTGTGAGCAAAGCTGTAGTGTCAGCAGAGCTGCAACAGAACAGCCCATTCCCACTAACAGTTGCTCTGTGCTCAGTTCTTTTTCCTTCAAGGTAACTCAGTGGCACAAATCAAAACCAAGGACCATGCAGCAACAGCAAGGAAGAAAAAACCCAGCCAAACCCCAAAGCCCATTTGCAAGGCAGGACCCTGGAGAAAAGCTCGTTGCATTTCAGGGAAGAAGTCTCACCTGGCCAGAGTATTGGCTGCTTTGGGGACCCTATGAAAAAAGAACTATCCTTCAAAGTTGGAATTGTAAGTGAGTGCCAAGTGCCATGGCACTCCACTTGCTCCAAGGCTGTATCCTGACTGCTACTGACAGATGCTTACCTGGCTGTAGGAAACACTCTGAGGCCGGGAGCCCTGTAAGAAAGGAATTAGTGATTGATAACTATTGTGTTCACGAAGCAGATGCCTCTCTCAGTCTTGTCTCTTTGTGGGCAAAACCACCCAGAACGCAACAGAGAATGTACGGTCTGTGCTGCTTTACTGGAGTTATTTTAAGCTTTTGATTCTGGGTGAACATCTGATCACACAGTATTTATCAAATGACAGTCAGTGTGTTTTTATGTCCACCTCAGGCAGGGCTCCAGTATGACAGTGGTTTTCCAGCACATTCAAGGCACGCAATATTTTCTTACTGTGTTTCTTTTGCCTGCTGTTCTCAGACATTGGGCTTAGGTGGTTAATGGTAAGTGAATCTTAGAGTCACACACTGGTTTGGGTTGGAAAGGACCTTAAAGCTCATCCAGTTCCAACCTTCCACTAAAGCAGGTTGCTCCAAGCCCTGTCCGACCTGTCTGTGTAGGGGCATCCACAACTTTTGCTTTCCTGTATTGTATTTTTGAGCCACATTTGCACAATTCCCTTCCTCTGAGGGAAAATAAAGGTGAAAAATAATTTGAAAAATATTAAGAAAGAATCTGACAAAAAGATATAGATTCATCAAATGGAAACAAGGCAGTTAAAAGCAGCCAGTCAAATGAATTAGTCAGTGATTAGTTACCAGCACTGTAGGTAACTATATGCTGCTGGAGCAATCTGCCTTTAATAGAATGTCATATAAATGCAGATGTTTTCATGCACATTCAGACCTATGCAACAGCTTTCTGGGAGAGTTATGAAGACAGGGATTACCAAAAAGAATTGGAATTCTCTTGTGTATTTCTGCCATCTGACATAAAGATCCTGACAAATTCAGAGCTGTCATAGGGCTGCTTTGATTCACATAAAAGTTGTAAAGGGACGTGAACATTCATCATCTGCAGGCTTTAAGACCAAATGTTCCTGCAGCTAAGGACCTAACTCAGTATCCTTTAGCTCCTCAACACTGTTTCTCTGTACTGAGTCCAAAGGGGACAGCAAAGACCTGGCTGTAAATTTGTCTTGTACCATGTAAATCAAGTACAACAGCAGCAAATAGACTATACCATAACTTTTAAAGTTCCATGCCCACGGTAAATATCAGACAGCAACAGAAACTCAGGCTTCCAGCAGAGACCCATTAAAAAAACACCTGCCAATTGAACAACTAAAGATTTGAAATGGATTCAGGTTTGTTCTTTCTAAAGAGATTGGTATAATTTGGGACAAAAAGAATGACAATCTGTGACCCTTTGCAGCGCTGTGGCACCGCACTGGCTCATGTGCTGTATTCTGACAGAGACTTACCAGGCTGTAGGAAACACTTTGAGGCCGGACCTGTAAGACAGACAAGAACCTAGCTGTGAGCAAAGCTGTAGTGCCAGCAGAGCTGCAACAGAACAGCCCATTCCCTCTAACAGTTCCTCTGTGCTTGGTTCTTTTTCCTTCAAGGTAACTCAATTGCACAAACCAAAATCAAGGACCACCAAGGAGAAGAAAACCCAGCCAAACCCCAAACCCCATTTGCAAGG